TCAGGAGATGTGGCCTCATTAGAGGAGGTTTGTCAGTGGGAATGGGCTTTGAGGTTTCAAAAGCCAAATACCATTCCCGTTGCACTCTCTGCCACCTGCTTGCAATTCCAAATGTGAGCTCTCAGCTGTTCCTGCCACCATCCTTTGCATTGGCATCGTAGACTCAAACCCTCTGGCCCTGTTAATCCACTTGAACAGTTTATTTTGTAAATTGCTTTGGTCATGGTGTCTCCTCACAGCAACAGAAAAGTAACTAAGGAAGTATCTTTTTGCCGTGTGCTTACATAATGGAAGGGATAAGCAAGCTGCATAAATTGGGTTTCTTTTAAAAGGATACTAATATTGGTTAGAATTTCAGTGTCAGAATCATTGCCTTGACCAGTGATATGGAGCTGTCCCCTATTTAGATCTTAACATTCAGACCTTAGTAGAAAGGCAGGCTTAGATGAGTCTTTCACCTAAACATTAATGATCAGTGTTGGTTTGGGTTGAACTAAGCAGTCCATTATATAAAGCACAGGCTAGGTGATGCTGATTGGTCACAAGTGAGTAGTATTGTCAACTTCTGTATGGATCATCCACATAGAACATCCTCTTGCTAGTAGTCAAGTCTCAACAGATTGATCAGAGGCTCTGTTCTCAAATAATTGCTATTTTAAATGTTACTTCAAAATGCTCACTCACTGATCTACACCCCTGTGCACAAACGATCCTTTTTCACCACAGCTTTGACAGTCCATTCATCATCCTTTGTGTTTTTGCTGACAACTATCCTAACATGGTTTTTTTTGATTTGGACTTTATTGTTGATCAGAGATGTTGAACATATTTCCTTAGAGTTTTCCACTATACTTCATCTTTTTAGAAATGTTGGCTTAGATCCATTGCCTGTTTTTTAAAATCAGATTGTTTTTGTTCTTTTTAGTGTTTGAATTCTGTGTATTTTAGAGATTAGCCCCTTATCAGTTGTATGGTTTGCAAACATTTTTCTTGATTTTTGCATTGTCTCTTCACTGAGTTGCTTGCTTTGCCATGCAGAAGCATTTTAGTTTGCTATAGTCCCACTTGTGTGGTTTTGGTTTTGTTGCCTGTGGTTTGGAAATCTCATCCATTAAATCATTGCCTAATCCAATGTTGTGGAGCTTTTTCTATTTTTGTTTTGTTTTGTTTTTTGTAGCTTTATTGTTTCTGATTTTATATTTGTCTTTATCCATTTTGAGCCCATTTGTGTTTATGGTATGTGAGTCCATTTTCATTTTCCTGTGTGTTAATATCTATTTTTTCTTAATACCATTTACAAAGTAGATACCTGCGTATGCTCTTGGTACCTTGAGTTGGTCACTGTGTCTGTTTTTCTGTCAGCACCATTCTGCTTTGATTACAAAAGCATTGCAATCCTCTATGAGTCCAACTGTAAGGTCTCCAGCTCCCGCCCCTTGTTTTTGAGGATCACTTTGGCTGTGTAGAGTATTTGTATAGTTGCATACAAATTGTTTTTTTTTTATTTCTTTGAAAAATGACTTTAGAATTAAGATATGGAATACATTGCTATAGATCACCTTGGGTATTATGAATATTTTAACATTTTTTAGCCTATATACTTGGGTTATCATTCCATTTACGTGTGTCTTCAGTTTCTTTCATTATTGTTTTATCATTTTCAATAATTTGATTTTTCATCACGTTGTCTAAACTTACTCTAAGTATTTTATTGTGAGGAGCGGCAGGCCGCTTCCCACCGCCCTGCTCCTGCACGGCTAGCTTTACACCTGAAATAATTACATGGAAACTGTATTCTTTTAAATACTGCTTGGCCCGTTAGTTCTAGCCTCTTATTGGCTAATTCTCATATCTTGATTAACCCATTAATCAATTTCTAATAATCTGTGTAGCACCACGAGCTGATGGCTTACCAGGGAGATTCTTAACCTGCTTCCGTCTCAGAGAGGAGAGGCATGGCATCTGGCTCTTTGCCCTCTTCCTCCCAGCATTCTGTTCTGTTTATTCCACCTACCTAAGGGCTGGCCTATCAAATGGGCCAAGGCAGTTTCTTTATTAATTAACCAATGAAAGCAACAGATTAGAAAGAAGTCACTCCCATATCAGTATTTAAAGGTTTTTGTGCTATTACAAATAGGATTATTTTAAAATGTTACTAATTTCTACAACTTTATTGAATTTATTAATTCTTACACTGAAAAAATACAGAAATAAAAAGATACTATACGATCTCATGTATACATGTAGAATCTGAAAAAAAACTGATCTCATAGAGACAACAGAAGATGGTGCCTGGGAACTGAGGGAAGAAGGAAGGACAGCTGTTGATGAAAGAGGGCAAAGTTTCATTACATTGACAGAAAGAACTTTAGTAATGTATTGCTAGGTGACCACGGTTGGCAGTATATACAGTCCCCTTGGTACTGATGGGCTGCAGGAGAATACCAAAGCCCTCACATCCATGGATGCTTGCGCCCCTTGTATTTGATTACGTTACCACTTACATGCAGCCTACACTTAGCTAGATTACATATAATGCAGAGAGAAGTCATTTCTCACCCTTTAAAACATAATTCACAAATAAACCCTTTCTAATAATTTCCCTCTAACAGAAACCTGGCTGGGCTTAGAACTTTGAGTAAACAATACCAACATAAAATTTAGTAGCATGACTTGGATTTCAGGAGACTTATCATTATGGCTAGCATCTATAAAATTCATTCACTTAGTATTTTAAAGTGTGTGTGTGTGCGCACGTGTGTGTGCACATGTGTGTGTGTGTGTGTGTGTGTGTGTGTGTGTAATTACTGAGGAAAGTGAAGTTTTAATCCTTACTAGTTGTAAGTAGAAATACCTTTTTTGATATTTTGCTAGAATCATTGTGAAAGCACACTTGCTAGTGGCGATGTTTTATTTATTTTTCTTATACTGCAAACAGTCCAGTTTAAGTAAGGTTTCAAACTGGAATCTTGTAGTTTATGCTTGGTGAAGCATGTCATCATTTTCTATTCTAACAACTACAGTATTTGTTTTGCAATGTTCCTCAAATATTTGAAAATAATTCCACAAGTATTTGACAAGTAAATGAATTAATGAAGGTAAGAACGAAGAATCAACAAGACTGTACTTTTCTAGCTGGAAGGTGTGGATACAGTTTTCATTCTATTCTAAAAGTTGTCAGTAGGACTAGCGATAAAGACATTGAGGAGTTGGTGCCTTCAGGGATAATGCGTTCTTCTTAGTGAATTTTGAGCTACTTAGGCTGAGCATTTTTGAATAATCTTGTTAGGAAGAAGTAACAAAGGACAGCCCTACTAATTCTGCTCTTGTGTGTGTATATATATGTTTATGGTTATGTATGAGACTGGGTATGACTGCTTTTTTATTTTCTTTTTTCTTCCTTTTTTTCTTCCACTAAGCCCAATGACGATGCCATTTTAGAGACATTTTGCCATTTAACCCATGCCGACTTTGAACTCAGGGTCCCTTCTTCCAACCTCTTAAATGCTGAAATTACAAGCACTCACTATGCCCAGCACTGGGACTTCCATTCTTCTCTGTTTGTTTTTATTAAGAATAACCACCTTTCCCTTTGTCCTTGATTCTGTATGGCTTTTTTATTTGTATCTTACCTCTGATCACTTCCACATCTGGGAAAGCACAGTGACATCTTGGTCTTAGGGGAGACTGGTACAGCTTAATTTAAACTGCATTTCCTTCTTCCCCCTCACACTCTTAACTGTATTCCTCTTCTGAAAAAGGTGCCCAGGTCTTTCTTCACTGCATACTAGATGAACCGCAATGCTGATGCTAAATTGTTTATTACTATTCATGCAGTCATACTACAAATATCATATTTTAGAGACTTTGTTCTCAAAATCTTGAAATGATTTTACATAGCGGAAAAGTAGAATATTACCAAGACTTTAAATCTCAGCTATACTAAACTGATTATAAAATACCTATGCAGTTAGCTTTACTAGCTGTGTTTCAGATAATTTATTTTAAAATATTTTAATTTATATATAATAAATTATATATAATGTAATAAATCTATAATATAATGTAACAAACATACATACATATATACAGAAATAGAACTATGTTTCATACTGGTGTATACATTTTCAACATGTTGTAGGCTTTGTTTTTTACAAGTATATTGTTTCCTTAATTGTACCATGATTATGGCTACTTCTTAACTGAACTTATTTTGTATATTTATGCTCATATTTTCTGTTATTAAAGTTGTAACTCAGTATAATTTTTTCTGTGTGATATTTTGGCATTCTAGTTATTAGTGGGTGATCTTTAATGTGTAAACTTGAGGGTATTGTCTGTCAGTTGTGGTTTATTTTTTATCCTTACATTATAAATTTAGTAGGACAGAAATAACAATGATGAATTCAAGATGAATTCCAGAATCAATCATCATCTATAATAATGATCATCTAATCTGTAATCTTTACTCTTGAGGTAAATAAGGAACAAGTTTTTGTTATTATCATAATTGGATATATAGTAAAAATATTTTTAGTTGTCTATTGTTTTTCTACAAAAGATACAGATGGCTTGATTTATATTTGTAATCCTTTGTTATTTCTAGTGTCTGTTACAAAAGAAATGCAAACTAGAAGTTGGAGGTACTTACTGTCTAATTCCAAAGCTGTAATAACAAAACAAACAAAACCATGAACTTGGTAGCTGATTGTATCTGTCAACCATATGGCTATAACATACTGTGGATGCTGGTTACCATCCTAATTTTAAATATAAACTGATAATGGGACAGCACAATAGAAAGGCAATGGACTTGAGAGGCATATTCAGCTCTCTCATATTTTGCTCTGGTACCTTAGGCAGATTTCTTGACTTTCTGTGTAAAGTGAAAGACCATAAACTTCCTTAGAGTTGCCCTCAAGGTACAAGTACTCTGAGTGTTGCATGATAGGGGTGTGCGGAGTGCGATGTAGTGACAATGTGTTTTGATGTCCTTTTAGGTGAAGTGAAGGACAGAAATGTTCAAGTGGTCGAGCTCCCCATTGTAGACAGTCTCCATCCTCGTCCTCCTTATTTACCCCTGGCTGTACCAGAAGACCTTGCAGACCGACTCCTAAGAGTCCATGGTGATCCTGCAGTGTGGTGGGTCTCCCAGTTTGTCAAATACTTGATTCGTCCACAACCTTGGCTGGAAAAGGAAATAGAAGAAGCCACCAAGAAACTTGGCTTCAAACATCCAGTGATTGGGTAAGAATCTGTTTTTCCCTCTTGAACAGTAATACATAGCAACAGTGTATATGTTTACTTTTCACTGTAAATTTTTATAGACTCTGATAGTCCTAGTCCCACCAAAGAACGAAGGTTCTGACACTTAAGAGCCTGTTCTCCCCTTGTTCACTCGGCAGCAGAGCAAATGTGCATGTACCTTCTGTCTCAAATGCCCTTCTTTCTTTGTTTCTTCCACTCAATTTTTATGAAGCTTTTTTGTTTTATTTTCATATTTCCTCATCCAATCTTTCTTCCTCTCCTAATCTTTATATGCTTTATATGTAGAGTAGTTACTGACTCCTATTCTAAATGTTAGAGCTAAAGAAAGTACATAGTGAAATCAGAATATTAAATAGTGTTCATCTCCTGAAACTTCATTGAAATTCAGTGTGGCGAATTCTCCCTGCCCCACTTCATTTGTATAGAGCACACGAAACAAGTCCAATTTCCTGAGAGAAGCAGTGGTTAAGAAGAATGTAGGAAAAGAAATATTACTGGATAGATACCCCTGTGCTCACATTCACATCTGGACTGTATAGTCTTGGATGCAAAGCAAACGTTGGCATGAAGATGGCACAGTTACCCAGTATACTACAGCCCTCACTCCAGATTCAAGACACAACCTTGCCTTTGGCCACACTAAGATGCAGGAGAATGCTGGGAAGTCAGTGTCCTAGCCATTGTAGACAGTGTAAGTCTGTGTCCCTTGCTTTATAACATTGTAACTTTTCTTCAGTACAAAAAAATGAGATGTTTCTGTTTACATTTGACAGAGAAAAAATGTAACAAAAAGTCTGTAATGGCTTCATGGACATAAAATAGTCAATATCTTTAAAAGGCTTGCCTGTCTTAAACTGTAGGAAAAGTTCACATGGGTTTCTGTTTTCTTAGATGACTTTAAATGCTATGAATTGAAATGGTAGTAGCTCTACAGGGTAAAATGAAAGAGAAAATTAATTAATAAACCTTGGCATCAGGATGTTATAAGGAGTATCTTTAAGCTGTGAATCCTGTTATGATTTTGGTCTCAAATAACTCAAAACTTAAATCTGTTAGTGCCAGGTTCCCATATATTCTTTGGATATGCCAATTACTTTTTCTGTAAGAAAGTGTTTCTCAAAACCTTACCTAACTTTCATATTGCCCTGTACTATATAACATGCAACAACATTAAAGTATTTGTGAAGTGTTTTGAAATGATTTTATATTTTTAAGTTGAGAATAAATGAAAAATTGGTTTACTATGCCCCCAGTGCCACCATGACTGGGGGTACTGATTGAGTTAGCAGTACATTATCAGCGCACTCTCCACTTCTCCCCAGAGTCCATGTCAGACGCACTGACAAAGTGGGAACAGAAGCAGCCTTCCATCCCATCGAGGAATATATGGTACACGTTGAAGAACATTTTCAACTTCTCGCACGCAGAATGCAAGTGGATAAAAAAAGAGTATATCTGGCCACTGATGACCCTTCTTTGTTAAAGGAGGCAAAGACAAAGTAAGTTAGAACAACTAATGCTTCTTCAGTGGAATTATCTTTTTGTTAAAGAGAATCCTTAATTCTGAAAACTTGTGGTTCTTGTTGTTGTTAACTAATGGGGTCCAAAATTCAAAGACTATATGTGCAAATATCAATATAATCAAGTCATACCTTATTAGCCATATCTGATATAGTGTAATAAAAAATCTAAAATGGGCTACACTACTGATTTGTGGAGCATCATCAGCAGTCGTGATTAAACACATTACCACACTTGTTAGTACCAAAATTTGTTTTAACATACTAGAGTTGCCATGAACAACATTTCATAGACTGGGGCTTAAGTGACAGAAGTTTATGTCTCAGTTCTGAAGGCTGGGGCATTCCAGATCAAGGTGCTAGTGAGGTCGATTTCACTCTGAAGTTCCTTTCCTTAGCCTATGGGTAGTCACCGTCCAGCCGTGATACCTATATTGTTAAGTAACTCCCATTCTAGGAATGGAATATTTCTATTTATTAGAATATGGTGCTAGTAGTATTCCTGTAGGATTAGCAGAGTATTAAGAAGCACATAGACAAAGCCTTGAGTCACATTGGAAATTTCTACTCAGAAGATCTGAGTCAATAAGATAAATAAAAGATAGTTTAAGTATATATGAAAGTAGATGAAGGGAGAAAAATGTAGTATTAGCTTTGCTCAGATACCATCTCCTCCAGAAATCACCCCTAAGCTTTGAGTGGGTTGTACCCCTCGTCTGCATGTTGTTGGTGTATGGTTGAATACTTGTGCACTTCTCTCCCCTTCGGCACATCGTATACACTTTTGATGCAATTCCTAACTGAGGTATAGGCCCAGTAAATGCTGAATTGTTTACCTAAACAATTTGTAAACATTTTGTTAGCAGTTAATCGTTTTCCTATTTAATATACTGCTTGATTTCTTTTTTCTGTTAGTTGGGAGTGGGAAAAAGAAGCTTTTAGAGTGAGGCCTAAAATAGAGCTGTTTCTGTAAGTCATTGAGTGCACATAGCCAGGAAACTCATCAGCCAAATGTGAGACTAAGTTATTATAAGAATGATACATTGATTATTGAGCACAAGACATTAAAGTGTTCATTGTTTAATTTAATATTTAGATATACCAGAGAAGCAAGCAGTAATAGTTCACCATGCTCACCCATTTTAAAGCACTAGCCTCAATTTGTAACTTGGTTGAAGAAAGGATATTAATCTTGTCACTTCTTTGACTTATTCTTGAATGTATCAGTTACTTCTTCCCTTGATTGGCAAAATAATTCATGTCCATTAAAAAATACGGAAGTTCATACATACAAAAAACAAAGGAAAAATACTACCCACAATCCCATTACTAGTATTAGCTATCTTTTAAATAATGGTATTTTCCTCCCAGAAATTTGCATAATCACATTTTTTGTTTTATTTTTTGAGATGGAATCTCGTGTGTCCCGAGCAGGCCTCAAGCTCCATATGTAACTGAGGATGACCTTGACTTTCTTGGTTTTTGCTTCTATCTCCTGAGTACTAGAATTGCAAGCCTGTGCCGTCTCATCCAGTTTCTGTGTTGCTAGGGATCAAATCCAGGGCTTTTTCCATACCAAGCAAGCACTCTGCCCAGCATTAGCACTTTTTTAAAAACTTTTTTGAGATAGTTTGTGTAGTTCTGGCTATCCTGGAACTCACTATGTAAGCCAGGCTGGATGCCTCTACCTCCCGAGTGCTGGGATTAAAGAAGTACACCACCACCATTTCTTTGTGTTTTTTTTTTCAGTTGTTTGTTTTTTATTTTGTTTTTTAATAGTTAGGAATTCTTATAATTTAAACTTTTTTAACTTAATATTTAGCATTAGATCCATCTTTTTAGGTCCCTTAAAAGTCTCCCTTATTTATTTATAACTAACAACTCTATGCTTGTGGGGAGCCATGTAGTGCTTAGAACTATGTATACAATGTATACGTTATAGGAAGAGTCAAACAAACACCCATTACCTCATCAACGTGTGTGTGTGTGTGTGTGTGTGTGTGTGTGTGTGTGTGTGTGTGTGATAGAACCAAGTATACATTGTTACTAACTGGGTTACCCTAAGGTGCATAGAGCTTAACACTGAGTCCTGAATCTGAAACTTTGGTCACCAGCTCTGCGTTTCCCATCCTTCCCTCTTCTCCCCTGCCCCTCAGACTTCTTTATACCCTTTGTTTCCATAAAACCAATGTTCTGGATTCAACTTAAGATTGAAGGTATATAATATTTGTCTTTATTAGTGTAATGACCTTGAATTTTTTCCTATCTGGTCAAAATGACAATTTCCTTTTAAAGGAGATATATAGTTATGTATATGTATATACATGTATATATGTGTGTATATACATGCATATATATGGTGTGTGTGTGAGAGAGAGAGAAAAAAAAGAGGGAGGAAAAGAGAGATTTCTCTTTATTTGTCCACTTGTGGGCATCTAAGGTGCTTCCGTATCTTGGTTACTGACATGAAAGCACCTTGGCTCCTGACATGAGCATGAGAATAAAGAGATTTATTTACTGATTTCAGTTATTTTGTATATATGCACTGTGATGGGATTGCTGGATTATATGGTAATGTTTTTTAATTTTGAGAGAGCTTTATCCATTAAGGTTGTACTTGTTCACGCCCTCCCCACAGTATACAAGGAGTCCTTTGTACCACAGCTGGAGTGACACTGTTGCCCCTGTCTTTTTGTTAACAGGCATTCTGAAGGGTGTGGGGTAACATCTCATTATGGTTTTAATTTGCATCTTCCTGGAGCTCAGAGATGTTAAACACTTTTCATATTCTTTTCCATATATAGTTTATAAATTAACCCCTTACCAGGTACATGGCGTGGAAACATTTTCCCAGTTGTTGGGCTGCCTCTACTGTGTGTTGTTTGCTTTGCAGAAGCATTTTGGTTTGAGAACCCTACTTGCTGTTTTTGTTGCCTGTGGTTTTAGAGCCTTGTCTAAGACATCATTGCCCAAACCAGTTTCATGGAGCTTTTTCCCAGTGTCATCACAGGAGTGTATAGTCTGGGTCTGGGTTACCTCACTCAATATGATGTTTTCTAGATCCATCCATTTGCCTACAAATTTCAAGATGTCATTATTTTTTACCACTGAGTAGTACTCTATTATGTAAACATTTTCCTTATCCATTCTTCAGTCGAGGGGCATCTAGGTTATGGCCAGTTTCTTCTGACTATTACGAATAATGCTGCTATGAACATAGTTGAGCAAATGTTCTTATGGTATTATAATTGAACATCTCTTAGGTATATGCCCAAGATTGATATTGCTGGTTCCTGAGGTTAAATTGATTCCTAATTTTCTGAGAAATCACCATATTAATTTCCAAAGCGGCTGTACCAGTCTGCACTCCCACCAGCAATGGAGGAGTGTTCCCCTTATCCCACATCCTCTCCAGCATAAGTTGTCATCAGTGTTTTTGATCTTGGCCATTCTTACAGGTGTAAGATGGAATCTCAGAGTCGTTTTGATTTGCATTTCCCTGATGGCTAAGGATGTTGAACATTCCTTAAGTGTCTTTCAGACATTTGAGATTCCTCTCATGAGAGTTCTCTGTTTAGGTTCCTTCCCTGACTTCCTTTGGTGTTGTACAGTGATGTGGAAGTGTAAACTGAACCAAAGCTTTTTCTCCAAGTTGCTTTGGTCAGGGTTTTCATTACAGCAATGGAAACCTACCCAAAACAGGGAGTAACAGTCATTCTTCCTTTACATAATTTCGTAAGAATTAACACTTAGACATAGACTGCTTACAAGAGTACCTCACATATAGCAAATGTTCAACAAATAATAACTGTGATAAGCATCTGTCTATTTTAATCTTTACTTCCCTAGATCTCCACTCAGAATCGTTTTATCAGTGAAGATTTGAGATCTAAATTTGCAATTCCTAACCTTGTTTACTTGCCCTGCTTTTGGCCATGGCTCATCTTGTTATGTGATATACTTATTCTTTGTTTACTGCTTGTGTCCCTAATCCCATCTCGTCCTCCCTAAGTGGAATCTAAGCTCTATTAAACACAAGCATTCATCTGCTCCATTCACATTAGCACTGTCAATACCTACAAGGGAATCAGGAGCACAGTAAGAGGATGAATGGGCATTATCCCGAGATGATAATGCTTCTTACTTACAAAATCCGAAAGCAGGAGTCAGTTTACAGTCTGGCTCTAGACAGTGCTCTCTAAGGTTAGGACCACATCTTATGTCTCCTCACATGACAGGGCCTAGCAGCCCACACAGTGCTGTGACCAAATACAGGAATGTGAGTGCTACCTTTGTAGACTCTATCCTAACCCCTAAAGAGGTGCTTCGCATTGCTTATCATTTCATGGCCACCAAGGAGCTCCCCTTCATTGTCTTTGAGAAAACGGCAGAAAGGAAAAGTTCCTGAGCACTCTTCTCGCTGGTGCATAGTATTCACACCTTACAGTAGACCTTACTTTTATTTATTCACTGATTTTAACATTTTGCCCTTCCCAGCTCAACATCAGGGAGGTGAGGAAAATGTCACATTTGTTCTAAAAAGAAAACCCTAAATATTTTCAGAATGATCCCCATGAAGTATATACCTAGGAATTGAGGCAAACACAGTAACACCCTCGAGTCTATGTAAAGAAGCTTCCACTCTGTGGTTTTGCCCTCAGCTGTGTAAGCAGAGGGCTTCTTTTTTTTTTTTTTTTTTTTTTTACTCCTTAAACATTTAAATTTTTTTATTGAGAAAAGGAAAAGAAAAAAAAGTTTCCGCCTCCTCCCAGCCTCCCATTTCTCTCCCTCTCCTCCCACCCTTCTCCCCCTCCCCCCACTCCTCTTCCCCTCCCTCTCCAATCCAAAGACCAGTCAGGGTTCCCTGACCTGTGGAAAGTCCAAGGTCCTCCCCACTCCGTCCATGTCTAGGAAAGTGAACATTCAAACTGGCTAGGCTCCCACCAAGCCGGAACATGAAGTAGGATCAAAACCCCATG